TCAGAGCTAGAACTTGGTCCCAGAGCTTCCTGATCCAAAATCCATATTCTTATCTATTATCCATCAGGCCCTGGGCTAGACATGAAAGGTGAAATGATAAGTGAAGCCAGATTCCGTTTCTAGTCTCAAAGGGCCTACAGTGGTGAGAAACACAAGCATCCATCATAGCATCCCCAAATTAATGTTCAAGTTCTGCATTGTGACCAATGGGGTGAAGAGAAAGACACGGATACCAGGGGACTTAGCCTGGCTTGCAGGGTCCTGTCTCCATATCTCATTCATGTGTGTATGTCAGCCCTAAACCTCAGGCCTCAGCAGCCTCACTGCATGCTTCATTACCCATCAGAGCCAATTTGGCTTCCATCCTCCCTTCCCCTTGGCCCAAAGTAACTTAACAGCACTTCCTGGCCAGTGTCTCCAAGAACCTTTTAGGTCTCCCGTGGCTCTCCTGAAAGTGTAGTGGATGCCTCTCTGCTGATGATGAGAGATTCAGACAAGCTACTTAATGACTAAGAGAATAGAAGTGTTCTCTAAGAGACAGGGAGGCATCGTTCTTGCTTTGCTCAGCCTGGATTCCCCAGGTAGACTTAGGGCGCTGACGCCATTCCTTGCCTGTTTAGGAAGCAGCGTGGTTAGCCCTGGAGAACAGCAGAACATTTGGGAGGCTGTGAGGGCTGAAGAATTGAGAGTATTTGGACTGTAAACCGCTAGGTTCCTTGAGGTTGGCAGTCGACAATAGCTCAGCATCCTTGGACCATCTCAGCAGTTGATGGTTGATAGGTTAGATTCTCTAAGGTGAACTCTTAGGCCTTGTGGCTTGCAGGATAGATCATCAGATACCAACCTTTCATTTCACAGGTGAGAGTTCAGAGATGTAAAATGACTTGTTCAAGGTCTCATGGCTAATAAACAGCAGAGGGTCTAAAAGCTTAGATCTCTTGGTTTGTGGTTCACTGTTCTTTCTTTCCTGGTCAGCACACTATAGGATTTATTATCATCTTCATCATCATGATCACCACCACCACCACTATCATCATCACTTACTATGTCTAGGGCTACATTAAGTGCATCAAGGAGTAAGAAATGTTTTCATGATCTGTGGCAGGTTGTCACTGTGGAGCCTATGAAAGCAACATTACAATGCCTCAGAATCTTGCTGTCCAGGCACCCCAGACCCTGAAGCCTGAAGCATGCTGTTATTATGGGCAGAAGCCAGTTTCTTCCCCTCTTCTCTGGGCAGTCCCATCTCCCTGCTTCAGCCAAGACGGCAAGCCAGCTGCTAGTGAGCTCAGACTAGCCTTATCAGCCCCTAGGTTGGTAGAGGAGGGCAGGGCTCATTTCTGCTACTTTGTGGACATCAGTGACCTCTCCCTCACTGAGCTCATTACTAGTCTGCCCTGCGGCAGCCTCTGACGTCAGGTGGAGATGGAAGCAGAAAGGCACCAGCTGGTCTGCAGCCCCTGTCACCCTGGTTTTTATTAAAGGGCAGAGTCTCAATAAGAATAAAAGGCTGGCAAGGTGTGTAGCATTGGGTTGAAACCTGTGACAGAGGTCAGAGCAGAGAAGGGGTGGTGGCCCAGCTTTCCACCACGTAGGGCGGCTCCAGCAGAGGCTGGCTGGCTGTTTACCTCACCTCAGTTTACTCAGAATTAACCTGCTTTGCTTCAGCAAATAACCCAGTCCTGTGTTGCCTGCTTGTGAAGCGGAACAATACCCCTCAGCCCACTAAATCACAACAGCCAGCTTGCCAGCAGCCTGGGACCCAACAGGAGCCCCTGGAACTGGGCTTCTGCCCCAGACTCGTTTCCTCTTTAAATCATGATGGAATCTGGGCCAGTTCCCGTTATTGTCTGGGCCATCAGTGGAGAGTGAATGTCACCGTTGGGGACAGGGCCTGTGGGCTCCATACTGTACCACAACCCAATACCCACATGCCTTCACAGTCCCCTAAGAAAGGACACACCTGAAAACAGGGGGCCCTTTGGGCCAGTGCTCCCCTAGAGGGAACCCTCCTTGAGAGCTATTCACAGAGATGGATTCCATGTAGCCAAAGCCCATCTCCCAGTTCATCAACAAACCAGCTCTGACTCCCTGAAAGAAATAGCTGATGAAGGGGTCACCCTGCTATGGTAGCATGGCAATGATGGGGACATGGCGACAGCCGCCTTTGTTAGCAGAGCCTGTTACCTGTTAGCAGAGCCAGAGGGGCTTCCAGAAGTCCTCCCGTGGCCCTGCCTTGCTCATGACATGGATACAGAGAATCCTTCCTGCCAGCATTCTTTTGGCTGAAATCACTTCTTGCAGGCATCTGCAGGTCCTCGTGTGTGCTGTCTGCTCTCTCAAAGCATACATGTTTTGTAAGGCAAGGATCCCACACCACAAGGGCCTATTGTCAGTTACTACATGATAGGGGAGGGCGCAATGGAGGACGAGAGTGACTCGGTGACTCTCATAAGCTGTTCATCAGGTGCAGAATTATCTAAGCAAGGGGGAGAGGGAGAAGGATTTCGGCAGAAGTAACTAAAGCTAGACAGGTTGTGTGGAGCAGAGGTTGGCATACAGAAGAGAAAAAGACGAGGAAGTAAGAAAGGCCTCAATTGCTCAAGGCCTCCAAACAAACTAAGATGTAAAGTCTTGATTTAGAAGCTGAACTGGGGAAGAGCTGAAGATGTCTAAGCAGGGACATTGACATATGAATGTCTGGCACTAAAGTACTTGCAACCTCCGGCAAGTCCTTAACTTCGGGAACATTCATCTCCTCCAGTGAGAGGCAGGCATAATGGGGCATCCACCTTGCAGGGCTATGCCAAGGCTCACTGAGGGAAATCAGCAAAGGACTTAGGAGGCAAGCAAACAGCACACAGTGATGGTTCCCGTTACTGCATGTAGTAGGGGTGGAACCATTTCTGGAACTTTGGGCAGGGTCAGACTTAAAGTACTATTAAGGGAAAGAAGGAGAGAGAGAGATTTCTGCTTATATCTCGTTGCTTCAGACAAAGACGGTACATTGTCCAGATGTGTCGTGACCTCACAGATGGACCTCAGGCATGGAAGGGAATGGTGATGTTCCCCCGGTGTCAGGGCAAAGGGCAGTTTCTGTGTCTTCCTCCCTTGATGAAGGGTCTAGGAAGACGGGAGACCATCTGAGAAAGATGGGAATTCTAGTACCATCTTTGAACCGGTTATGCCCTAACAGACTATACACGTTTTGTGGGTGTGGGGGCTATATCCATTCAGCCCTGAAAAAATGCCTCCAGGAAGCACTCAGCGAATAAGAAATGGCCAACCCAGGATGGAGAGATGGCTCTGCGGTTCAGAGCACTTGTTCTTGCAGAGGACCTAGGTGATTCCCAACACCAACATGGCAGCTCACAACCACCTGTAACTCCAGTTCCAAAGTCTGTGACACCCTCTTCTGACCTTCACAGGCACTAGGCATACACATGCTACATATATGTACATGTAGGCAACACACACACACACACACACACACACATAAAAAATAAATAAATAAATCTGAAAAAAAAAGAGAAGAATGAACCAACCAATGAACAAATGGGTGTAGTTGGGGAGTCCTTACCTGGCTAAAATTTCCTCCTCCTCCTCACAGTTATTTCTTAATCCCCTTCTCTGCCTGACCTTTTTCCCCTTAATACTTTTGACTAACTTGTTTGCCTTTAAAAAATCATATACAGTATATATGACCCTAATAAAATGCAAGCTCTGTGAAGGTTGGGATTTTTGTCTCGTTGTTCTCCATAAATCAACACCTAGCACATAACAGATGTTCAATAAATATTTCTGGCTGAATAAATGGGTGGATGAATGAACAAGTAGAAGGCCCCATCTAGAATCAGAACCACTTCAAACTCTGACCTTCCCTTTTTTCTTCACCTCCTCCCCCCACTAACTTACCTCTGGGAGACAGTTCAGCATCTTTGAATTCTGAGCTGTCTCCCCCACCCCCTTTCAACAAGCAGGCATAGAAAGCAATCTGCCAAGGTGCTCTCTCATACAACAGATGGACATGCTTGCCATCTCTCTGGAAGGATGCTATGACTTTCTAGGAAGGGACATTCTCTGCTCTCTCAGAATCCTTCTGGGAATCCCTAGGCAGGATGATTCTGGGGTGGGAGAGGCAACAGAGTGTGCATGGATTTCTGAAGGATCATCATATTTTAGGGAAGAAGACAGCGGATGTGAGGAGGGTCGTAAAGCACAGGATGACCAGTGTACATCTGGCTGGTTGGCTGCATGGCCTCAGCATGGTATCAGTTCCCGGCACGTCTACTTCTAGACAGAAAGATAGTGCCTGGGGCCAAGGCAGCCGGGTGCTGAGAGACAAATAAGCTGAGAAACAGAGGAAAAAAAGAGTTGCAGATGTCCTGGAAGAAGGATGATTCAGGGGCTGGAGCGTGTGTTCTGACCACGTGACTGAATAGGCAGGATGTCAGAGGGTCAGTAACAGGACATAAAAGACACCAGAAGTCTGCAGCCAGTGGCACACAGAGAGCTAGTATCCACAGCAGGGACAGACACAATGATAGTACCAGAATCTAATCAAAGGCGAGAAGGATGGGCTGGAGCTCAGTTGGCGGAATGCTTGCCCAGCAACTCATAAACTAGGTATGGTGATGCCAGCTTGCAAGCCAGGCCAGCACTCAGAGGGTACAAGCAGCAGGGTGAGGAGTTCAAGATCATCCTTAGCTGCAGAGCAAGTCTGAGGTCAGCCTCAAACTGGCCTCAAAATTTAAATGAAGAAGGAGAAAGAAGAAGGAAGGGCAGGAAAAAGGAGAAGAAACAATAACGAAGAGGTGGTCACTTGAAGGGACATCGTCGTAATTGCCTTTTGTTCCCAAGTACCGGACTAGACCAGTCCCTTGGGTTTTAAATATGTTCACTACTGCAGTTCCAAACGCTTTGGGCTGCAGAGTTCCCCCACAGCCCTTACTTAGAAAGCAAACACCGCTCACCTGCTCTTTCATCTGCTTCTTTCGCAGGAAAGTGTGGACTTGGGAGAGATAATGTTCTCCCTCTGCTACCTGCCCACAGCAGGCAGGCTGACCCTCACAGTGATCAAGTGTCGCAATCTCAAGGCGATGGACATCACAGGCTACTCAGGTACCTCTCTTACCCCCGGGGGTTATCGTTTCGCCTCCCTGAAGTCCAAACAGTGGGATTTAGAGGAGAATTCAGGGAGAAAGGGCAAGAATTGCCACTGTTCTTGGAAGACAAACTGCCTGTATCTATGCCCACTCTGCCAGCCTCCTTCCTATGTAAAGCTGTGGTTTCTGTACTGAGGGTCTGCCTCTGTGTGGGCATAGATCTGCGATAACCGGCTTGGCTAAGGAAAAGATTATTTGGCTTACAAGTTCAAAGGTTTCAGCCCACAGTCATTTGACCCTCTTGCTTTGGGCCTATGGTAGCGCAGTACATCATGGCAGCGACACCTGTTAGGAGCACCTGTTCCTTCACGTCAGCTAAGAAACAAAAAGAGAAGGAGTGGGGCCAAGGTCCTAGTATCCCTTTCGAGGGCATGTCCACAAGAGCCTAAGAGTTTCTACCATGACTTTGTCACAGGACCAAGGCTTCCATATCCTTGAGGGACGTTGAAGATCTAAACTGTAGCAGTTTTGTTTTGGTTAATTTAATGCTGGGCGCTGGTTGGATTCAGAATATCCACAGTGATCCATGAACTTGTAGGCACTGGGTAGATACTATTTTTATTAGTGTCACTCTTAGCAGCAGCTGCCTTCCCAGTTCCTACAGAAGTTATCTGGAGTTGGAATGTCAGTCAGTGTAGGCAGGTCCACCCAGGCCTAGGGCAACTGTCTGCAATCTCAGCCAAAGGAGTGAACGTGCTGGAAAGCAAAGCGTCTCTGTATTCGAATATTTGTGGTTTTCTTGCAGAGCCCCTGCACTGGCCTTAGCACAGCATAAAGGAAAAATCTAGTGCAGTTCCAGCCACGGGGAGATGCTTGTGTGAAGGCAGCAGCAGAAACTTGCAGGCTTGAAGTAGTACAGGAGGCTTGACCTTTCCTGCCACTTTGCAGGTTGTCCTAGGGGAAAGTTAACAAAGCGGTGGTTTGAGGTCTGGAAAGCTCCTCCCCCACAGTTCAGACTGTCTGGAGGTGTGTAGAGGTGAAGCCTTCCAAAGCGTTTTCCCGGACCAGAAGGGGCTGCATCAGGAAGCTGAAGGTGGGGAAAGGCTCAGTTTGTTTTCCCAGAGGCCCTTCAAACCATTCTGATTATCAGTGTAAAAGCACACAGGAGGCACCTCTGAACTTGAATAAAAAGGCAGTAAAGGATTTCCCAGGTGTTTCATTCATTGCTTTTTCTCCTGGGAATATGATTACAAGTGCTAGAAAATAAGAATGGTGATGGTGACACTGAACAGTGTCACACACTTAAATTCCCAGCTTCTGGGATGCTGAAGGAAGAAAATTGCAAGTTTGAGGCCAGTCTAGGCAGATAGCAACTTCAAAGCCAGCCTGAGCTACATAGTGAGACCCTGTCACAAAAATACAAGAGCTAGGTACAGTAGCACATGCTAAAGAGAGTACTTGATTAGCATGACTAAAACCCTGCGTTCAGTACCCACCATCGCAGAGATTAAAAAGAAAAGAGAGATGATGGTCCAGCTGAAAACCTCTGGACCTAGGCCTTATGAAGATGGAGAAAGAGGTTTCAGGCTTAGAAGTTTGGGTCTTTTGTTTCTTGTTTGTTTTGTTTTTTTTGTTGTTTGTTTTTATTCCTTTCAAGTCCCTGCTCCAGCCTCCAACAGTCACCGCAGTGCCCACTTCAGTCCAAAAGCCCTCACTGAGGGCCCCTGAACTCTTCCTCCCCGCCCCCCCCCCCCCCCGCGGGCCCCCGCACCCCTCCCCCCCCCCCCCCCCCCCCAAGCAGCTGACTCGCATCAGGATGCCGCAGAGAGCGCCATGAACCTCTGCTGACATGGGAAAAAGCTCTCAGGCAACAACAAGCCAGCTTCCCTCAAATACAGCCAATGTAGATTTCATTTTAATACCAAAATAAGTGCACTCGAGGACAGAAATTCACTAAGGACTCTCGAGGCGGCTGAGGGAAATAGGATTTTGCTGCTCTGGTCCCCAACACTGTCTTCTCTGTAGTAATCAAATTGGTGTGCTAAAGCATGATCTCAGAGTGAAGCCGTAGGTAATGACAAGGGCTGCTGTAAATCAGATGGTTTTGGACGAAAGCATTGTTTTTAATGTTAAAAGTTCCAACCTCTCCCTTCACAGCTCTCCCTCTTCCCTTCCCGGGTCTGGAATCTCCTGTTAAATCTTGGCTGGGTTCTGTAAATGCAAAACATCAGAGCCTCTGGAGCAATGCGTGAAACGTCATAGGCATTCGTTAAGTACGGACTAATGAACGAATGAGTGAACGGTGAATGAATGAATTTACGTAGCGCATGTGAGTCTGGCCCAAGGTGATGGAGTAGATGCCAGCATGCCCAGGGCACCTTGTGCTACCTCGTCTGTTTGTTGAGGCTGAGGTTGTCCTTGCCTTCTGCCATTGGACCAACACGGGAAAAAATTGGAGCTCCATAAGTTCTCTTCTAGACTCACAACAGCACTGACCTCTAAAGCCAACGATCTTCCTGTTCTCTTTGACCTAAACTAGCCCAGAATCAACTATCTAAGCCTATTTCCTAGAACCATGACAACAAAAATAGCACAAAGTGATAATAAAGACCAGTAGGCTGTGAAAGTATGGGCTAACCCTTTTGTCTCTGCTGCCTCTGGTTTATACTGCTTTATATCCAGTGGTCAAAAGCGCCTTTGGGGTCAAGCCTGGGGCCAACTCCCAGGCAAGTCATTTAATCCCTCTTTTCTGTCTATGAAACAGAGATACCAATGATATATGGTTTACACTGTAAATGTGCAGTAAGCCTGATAATGGCCATTTCTTAGCACAGAGCAGGTTCCCAATGCTGGATTCTGATGAGTCCCGCACAGTGACGCAGGAATGTGGTGCTGGGTTTTAGGCCTCTGGCACTCACCTCTGATTTCTGATTAGCCTCTTGGATGCTGGCAAAAGCTTGATTCCTGCTGAAAGAACTCTGCTTATAAACCAGATACTCCCTACGGGAATGGTGGACAGAGCCGGGGAAGAAGGCACTGGCCCAGTGGCTTATGGGAGGAGTGGCTACGCTTGTGTTTTCCTTACATGGAAGTGTGTTCTGAATGGAGTGTCTGGAACCAGGAATGGAAGAGGAACAAAGTGGTGCAAAGCCAGAGATGAAGCAATGTGTAGCTGGGAAGACTTGAATATTAAAGATGGGTCTTGGGCCTGGCTCTTTTCACTCGAGGAGACCTGACTGTTGTCCTAGAGAATAGCTATAGGGAAAGGAGCCCGTGAAAACCAGATAGCTGTGTCATACAAACTCTCAACGCTCCCCTTAGTGGGGGTCCCTGAAAGTATATAGTCAGAGATAGGAGGTTGATTAAACTCCTCATGGTCTCCCCAGTTCCTCTATAAACCCAAGCATCCCCATGGCTAAGGCGCAGCTGCCACCATCACACTGGTTAGTCAGCAGCTCACTTGGATGTCTGTGAAAATGCTTTCAAGGCTCGGAGCGTGGTTGGGCTCACCTCTCAGGGGTACAGTTTCTCTATCTCTTACTCTGTCTGTAGCCATCATCTGCCCTTTCCCCAGCATGACGCCAAACGGTACAAGGCCTAGGGGGTGCTCAGGGGCTCAGGAGGCACAACCACACACCTCAGAACTACAGAGCCAGGAGAGGGGCGACTGTGGTTCCTGCCTCCCGACAGGTTCACATGAGCCCTGGCTTCTGGACAAGAAGGCGTCTGAACACATCAAGGTCTCAAAGCTATTATTGCCTGTGAGTTGTCCTCTTTCTTCAGCTGTGCAGCACAAATAATAATTATGATGGCGACTGAGACACCTGTGCTATGCAATATAATAGGTGTCCCTTTGTTTGGATGAGTAGAAAATTTCAGGGTAAAAAGATGACCGTGAAATACCCATTCACAAAGCTAAAGGGAGAGAAGATTAGGAGGTATGTGGAAGTTTAATAAAAAAGACATCTCTTTGCAGCATGGAGAGAATCCAAGATCCCACTGAGAAATAAAATGTCAACCAGCTGCCCTGAGTCTTTGGGGGTGGAGGTGGGCTGCCTCGCTCCCTCTCCTGGCCACAGTTGCTCCTTGCTTCACTGCTCAGAAGTAGCCAGGAAATGGCTTCCAGGGAAGTGGCAAAGCAGGGCCACACCCCTGCTGCTTGATTCCAAATGGAAATGAGATTACTGGGACAGTGAGACCCAAAATCATGTCTTCGAGTAGAGAGGACAGGAACAGCATTGTGACTGGTGCCATCGCTTCTTTCTAACTTGTGGCCATCTCCTGGGCATCACTGCATCCGATTCTTGACCCCTTTATCCTTTGGTTACAAAGCTGGCAGAACTCCAGAGGAAAAAATGATTCTGTATAGGTGAAAGAAACAGTGCTTTTGTTAGCTTCAATGATCTTTTGAGCTTTCCTGCCAAAGAGAGAGCAGCTGAGATTTAGGGCGAGGAACTACATAACCATTGACAAGAGTCTTGTCTAAATTGGGGCTGCTTTTCCTAATTAGTGACACTCCATTAGGCGCTCTTCCAAAAATACAAAGGTAGCTAAAGACCGAGTTTACTAAGCGTGGAGCGTCCTCAGAGACAGGTGTGCTACATAAATACAAGGTGAGTTAATTATCTTAACCCACTGATCCTGTCTGATGAGCAGCACTAGGTCCAGGGATCCAGTCCCTCTGTGGCAAATGCTGCTTACAAACATCTGTCTAATGATGGCTCACACCTGTCACCTCAGCACTTGGAAAGGCTGAGGCAGGCAGATGGTTGTGACTTTGAGGCTGGCCTGGACCACAGAGTAGAACCTGTGTCAAAAACCCACCAAACAACAGCAAGAACAAAAATCAGCTTAATGTACTGTCTTCTTGCATTGCCCTCATTGACACAGATCCCTATGTTAAAGTCTCCCTGCTGTGTGATGGGCGGAGGCTGAAAAAGAAGAAAACAACCATCAAAAAGAACACCCTCAACCCCGTCTACAATGAGGCCATCATCTTTGACATCCCTCCAGAAAACATGGACCAAGTGAGCCTGCTCATCTCCGTGATGGACTACGATCGGTAGGAGCCTGCCCAGAGGGGTCTGATCACTCTCCTCGAAGACAGCACAGGGGCCCTTGATCTCAGACCTGCTACTCGGGGCCCATTGGCTTCAAATATGACCCCTAGAGTTACCCCTGATGGGAGACTAGGCCGGAAAGGGAAGCTGTAGCATTTAGTATGGGGATTTGAAAAAAAGAGCACGGGCTCCCCGTATTAAATGCTACAGCTTCCCTTTCCGGCCTGGTCCCATCAGGGGTAACTCTAGCTCTCAGCTTCCCTGAATTCATTCCCGACTACTTCTCTTCTTCTGCTTGCCTTCTGTCCTTTCAAATGCAGCTCTAGCATCTCCTTTCCTGTAGGATGGCGATGAAGCCCCCATCACTCTCTGCCCTAAGTCAGCCTCCAGACTCAGAACACATCTGCCTGGTTGCTTTTTCTCCTGGTCTTGCCCTTCTGAAAAAAACACCACTGGCTCTCGTTGCACAGACCTCCCATCCTCTGGACCCCAAATGACCACTCCACTAAATCCCCCCTCCCTTTTCACCTCTTTTTTGATTTTTACTTCCTAAGGTTTGCTCAGAAACATTTTTTCAACTACTCCATCTCTCATGACATATCTCCCTGAATCATTTTGGCTGTAGGATACAGAAATCACACAATAAAGCCTCAACCCTCAGTTTTTAGTTCAACCTCTCTGGCATAGTAGGTGCTTGACTCAAGTACTTGAGAGATGATTTATGTTCTTGCTGAGTTAATAAATCACAGCCTAGACAATAGTGGTATGGAGAAATGATGCTCAGAGCAGGTTGGTTTATTTCCAAGTGCCGGAATCTCCAGAGGACTCATAACATGCTTCCCAAGTCAAATAAGGGAAAAGACAGACTCTTAACACCCAGCCAGGCTTTCTGCCACTGTTTCCTGAGATTTCAAATATGTTTGTAGCCTTTGCTGTCTTCTTTAAGTCCCTTTACCTTACTTAAGAGGTTGGGCCAAGCCTCAGGGCCACCGGAATCCTAACACCCCCAAGAGCTCGTGGTTCTGAGTTAGATATACTAAACAGAGTTCCACCCCCAAGAGACCTCCCTTTCTGGGGGCATTTGAATGACCAACGAATGCTAAGACCTTTGTTTCTCCCTCAGAGTTGGCCACAATGAGATCATAGGAGTCTGTAGAGTGGGGATCAATGCCGAAGGCCTTGGCAGGGACCACTGGAACGAGATGCTGGCATATCCACGGAAGCCCATTGCACACTGGCACTCCTTGGTGGAGGTAAAGAAATCCTTCAAAGAGGTGGGTGAGGTTGCCTGGTCATTGGCATGCTTACTGCATGGTGGCGTGGGCTGCAGAATGGCAGGCGGCTGCTGTGAGTCCTCGGCCTTTAATGGAAAGGGGGCATGGGGAGCATCTAGTGTAGAACAAACGAGGGAGAAGATAGAGGCTGCCTGGCAAAAGTTGTGAACATTTCAAAAGTAACAGTGACGGGGCTACAGGTGTCATCCAGTGGGTAGGCTCCTGGCCTACCATGCATGAAGCCCTGAGTTCCATCCCCAACACTGCCTGAAGTTAGGTGTGGTGGCACACACCTGAAGCCCCAGTGCTCGGCAGGAGGGTTTAACGCTCAATGAAAGTCATCCTCAGCTTCATAGCAAGTTTGAGCCCAATGTGGGCTACATAGGACCTTGTCTCAAAAAAAAAAAAGAAGAAGAAGAAGAAGCAGAAGAAGCAAAGTTCAAATGCAACACAGAGTTCTTAATGGAAAGTGAGAACTCTGGAGATGTCTTCCCAGCAGTCTACTGTGCGGGGCCTGGAAAGCTTTCACAACAAAGCTCCTGGGCCAATTTAGTCCTGCAGGAGTAAAGCCCCGAGGGAGGGCGGGGGGAGGGTGAGATCAGAATTGGCAAGAAATTCTGCCCCAGTCAGAACAGTAGGTTCCCCGAGGTTTCAGACAGCTGCCACTTGACAGTTTTCACGTCTTAGATGATATATTCGGAGACCACAGTCCTCTCTGCTGCACGCTGTGTCTCCCCATCACCGGGACAGAGCGGGTATGGTGTCAAGATATCACACCTAGGAAAAGCTGGGGGCCCGAGTCCTAGCAAAGCTGGGGCTCCAACCTTGGCCTCCCCTGAGCCCATCACTTTCTTGGTGGAAACCTTGAGGAATATTTATTGTCTGTCCCATCTACACCAAATCCAACAAATGGAAGATCCTGGCATCTGTCAGCTTGACGGTCCCCAGGCCTGCTGCTTTTCCTTGAGTGTGTTGGGATGATGGGGTGGTCAGTCAAGCCTTGGGCTTCGTTTTCAGTGTCTCATACACACCGGCCCATCCTGGAAATCTGGGTGATGATTCCTTCATCCTAGGAGGCACCCACTAGGTCTAGAGAACTGTACAAAACAGAAAACTCAGTACGAAAACCAGAGATTTCTCTCTTCTGTCACATGGCCTTTAAAAGCCCCTCCCTGTGTCCACTCTGATCAGAAAAGGCACAGCACTCCTGAGCACCTACAGACCTCCTTCCCTTCTCAGAGTGGGTACAGCAATCTGACCACGGTTTGAGGTGCCACCCCGAGAAAGAGAAAAAGCGAAGGGGATGAGACCTGTTGAAATCTGTGGGAGACAGTGACTTCCAGGGAGTCAGACTAGTCAGTTTACCTCCTCAGGCCCTGAGGCGGTATCACGGATGTAGGCCACAGCTCCTGTCAACTCTGGTCTTTCCATCCAGTCTTGTGACTGTGGCTGCAGGGAATTTTACCACAGCTGTGGCACTTCAGTGAGTGACCAGTCTCTGAGGGCTCCTTCACCCTTTGTAGAGCCCTACCCTCTCAGCCAGAGGGAGCTCTTCATGGTGTGGGTGAGGGTCCTGCTCCAGTCACAAGTAGGCATTACTGGGCAGAGTGCCAGCCAACTTGAACCCGCTCTGACACCTCACCAAAGTCCTTGTGGATTCAACCCAGGCACCAGGTGTAATGCCTTAATCCCTGCTCCCGTTACAATGCTGTGGAGACATGTAAGAACAGCATAGGCATAGTAACCAGTTTCCGGTGGTTTGGGGGCCTGGCGTGGAATGAGAGCTAAGAGGCCCTTGGCAGGCCGAGACAGTTCAGGCATTCCCTGTCCTCCTCTGAGCTTTGGTTTTCTGGTTGATAAACGAGAGGGTAAGACACTCCCATCTCAGCCTTTCTGACAAATGCTCAGTGACAAAAGGGCTCAGGAACCGACGCTGCATCTCTTTATCTTGGCTCTCCAATAGTGGGTCACCATTGCCAGGCCCTTTCCTCTGGCAGAGAAAGAAACCATCAGAGCAGTGACTGGAATGAAATGCAAGGTACCCCAAAAGTGACAGGCCTTGATCCTGGAATCATGATGAATACTGTCTAATTAAGCCAAATGATTGAGTCCAAGGGCCTTTTCTTTGAGAAACTCCAACTGGCTAGTCCAGATGACAAAGGCAAGAAAGATAAAGTGGCGAGAAGCCCTTGAAAATGAATATTTGATGAGACGGTAAAGGGAAAGTAACTGTATATGGAAAAACGAAAAAAGAGATTAAATTGATACATATCCTTTGGGCTTACTTTTTTTCCTTGACCTGGCAGCTTGGAGAACCCCCCTCCCCCACCCCCTCTGCTCTCCGTTTTATTCTCAGCGGATTGGCTGTCTCTGGGAGGAGAGGCTGAAAATGGCATTTGTTTTGGCAACTTCGGGTTTGGGCAGAACTCGTGGGGTGGTCTCCACTGCCCCTCTGAGCACCCACAGCTTAAGAACCTTTACAAAACTGCGCCTACAACCTGGCTAATATGACCTAGTCAGTCCGTGTTCCTTGGGTTCTTTTCACCCGTGTCCTCCCACCTTGCCTTCTATGGGGCTTTGTTTAGCCTGAAGCTCAGATCTTGTATTTGTGTAACCCGGAAAGGAATCTTCCCGGCTCTTGAGATGATACATGGCCTAACCTCTACTCAGCCCCCCATGTTTGTCTCACACCTCCCTTAGCAGAGTTGCAAGCGCTGTGATCATTTTTTTTTTAATTAATGAGAACAGAGAGCACCCCGCACGCTTGACTGTTTTGGGTTTAAAATTAAGGTTGAGGGAAACAAATTAACTGGAAAGGTATCTTTTCCCTACTGGGATCCCTCATGAATAAAAATCCCTTCCCTCCTAGTCATTGCTAAGTGTCATTGTTGCGCCCCACCCACCCACCCACACACATACCCGGGAGCTGATTTGGCCAGTGACCTTACTCAAGGTGCTTCATTAACAAAAGGCCCTGTTCAGATCACCTGACATAAGATTTGAGCTCTCGGTTGGAACATTACCCGTTTCGGTACAGCAAGGGACCTGAGTGGGACACAGCTGCCCCAGAACAATAAGCTCCCTTTGTGCCGGGCCAGGTTTTTTGCTATTTCAGAACCAACCTGAGAAGCCTGCTGGAGTCATTCACATTGTCCATGAACCCCATCTCTTCCCTTTGTTTATCTTCAGAGGAGAAAATCAGGGGCTAGGAGGGGAGCCAGCGTTCCCTCTTCATTTGTTCCAAATGAACAGCTCTGTTCTGTGTGATTACTCTCCAGGCTGTTAGGTGAAAAGATGCTCCTCCTGGCCACTTCATGGTCTCTGCTCTGACCTGCGGGTCAGGTTGTCTCAGTGGCATGCTTTCCCAGGGGAGAAGCCAGTAATCGCAGAGTCTGAAGGTAGTAAAGGAGAAACTTGACGTTGTTGCTGAGTGATAGCGCCAGGAATCACCTTAAGAAACCCTGGAGCCAGAAGCCACAGGGGGCTCAAGAACCAGGCATTTATGTATCTAAAATATCTCACCAGGGAACCCCTCGGTTGTGATTTCATTCACGTGGATGCTGCGAGCGGAGAGACAGCCACAGGAGTTAGGAGTAAGTACCTGGGGTGGCCCTGAAGACTTTAGGTTTCCGGTTACACTTTGTGTCTCTTTCCTCCCCTAGTGCGTGGTCCCATGCCAGCGCGGTGGCACACAGTGGCAAGGTGGACAATAGGAAGGACAATGAGTTGAGAGTGAGGAGACCGACTGGGTCCTGGCTCTGCTCTTAACTGCCTGTGTCTTGACTTTTCTGTGTCTCTGTTTGCCTACTTGTAAGACTAAGAGGGCTAGACTGGGTGATGTCCCAAATTCACCTCTGGTTCTGACACACTGAGAGTGTTCAGGTTGGGCGCATGCCGTGTCTGTTATCCACACGTCTACAGTCCGCAGTTAGTTGTAGAAACCTTCAGTGTGGCTGCACAGGGAGTGCTAAAGGGAAAGGAGCCCCCAGCTCTCCTTGACCCCAAAGGCGCTCCATTCACGGTGCTGGCGGTACTGCAAGTCAGATGGTCTACTTCTCACGCAGCTCTGCTCTGCCTGGAAATTACTGAGAAAGGGAATGTTTGCCCCCAACCCCGATTCACTCCCACGGTCATCGAAGCATGCCTTCTCTGTGTCATAGCTCCACAACAAAGATCGCTAGAGCTCATGAGAAGCAGAACGGGGCTGCGTTTGTGGTTCAGAAAGCCATCTTGACCACTTGGCTTGCCCCTCCCCCCCTCTCTCTCCCTCTCTCTCTCTTTCTCTCTTGCCTATCCTGCAGGCAGTGGGAGAGTACTGGTTCTTCCTAGACCCCCTAGGAGTGAGTGAGCAGTAGTCACTGACTCACTTTGAAGTTAGAGCACTGTCAGGTAGGTCAGCAATATTGATGGGGTCAGAGCTCTGGCCAGCAAACATCACGCAGTTATGACTGACTGTTTCATCGGAAGAAGGGTCTAGTGGATCCAGGCATAGGTCCATCCATCCTCTGCCAGCTCTTGCTCTCCATTATGCCTCATTACATCATCCTCTTCAACAGGGCTCAGAGGGGCCCTGGGAGGAGGTGAGGAAGAGAAAGGTGTTAGAGGAGTGGGGAGAGGCAGGGCTGAGCTGTGTCTCCTCACTTCCTACCCCTTCACAAAGCTGGTGCAAATGCTCATAGGATACTTTAAGACTGAAGAAGAGAGCCCCAATGAAAGCAGCATCAGGGTTGGGTTTTTGGTTTTTTTTTTTTTCCCCTGTGCTAACAGCTCCCAGACAAATTACTAATAATTCATGACCGTAGGTTCTTGGCAGTAAGGGCACACACTGCCTCTCTTCACTGCTAACATAATCTGATTTTCAGTGTGTGAAAAATGGCCAAAGCACTCAGAAAAGGTCCAGTCATAGCTCATTAAAACATACACACACACACACACACACACACACTTTTGTACACGCTTTTGTACAGGAAGGTGAAATTGGGTCTGCAGTAGATCTTTTCTGAAAACCAAGTCTTCCAAACAAGAAGCTCTGAGCTTGTACCCTTAGGTTTCTGCATGGCTGACAGCAAAAGTCTAGAAAGCTTCCTGAGGCCTGGAGAGGCAGACACAATGCATGGGCTGTTTAATCTGAGCTGTCGATTCCACTGACAACAAATGACCAGGTTTTTCTCCTCCCTACAGTGGCAGGGCCGAGCTGCCAGCTTCGACAGTGAGAGCTCATGCCCATCTCCGAAACCACCTCCGACACCATGAGCTGCACGGCGGAGCCGACGGGACTCAGCAATGTTCTTTTCACACTTGTTTCAGTCGTCTAAACGCAGTGTTCGTGCAGTCTCGGTGATGGCAGCCGCAGCAGCCACTGCCTGCCAGCCCGTGGTCTTAACTGCTCTCGTGCAGGACAAGGCCCCGACACTTTTCATGTGTGATCAGATCTGTCTTAGTCTTTTCTGTCTCCCAAGGTGATGTTTTTGTGGTTTTTCACTTTGTTTGGGTCTGCTGTCAAGAAAGAAAGAAAAACGCAATGATTAGAGATACAAAACAAAGAGTTGGAGGGCCCAGAAGTCGGTTCTGGGAAATACAGTGTAAAATAGCCGTCTTGGGGGGGAAGACAGACTGACTCTCTGAAATTTTGTGCCTCCACCTAATGTTCACCCCTGGAGAAGGCAGACTAGGATGGGGCCATGGCTGTACCGTAGTCTCCTGCAAGAATGGAACCTGTCAATCTAGGAGCCTTTCTGAAGTGAATTATTCTTCTTGGAAGCTCTTCACTGCTGGGACACAAGCCAAGATGTGGCCCTCTTGTCCCATGTTGAAATCATGAGACCTCTGCCATGTTTGTGACTCTGTCGGGGGATCCCTGCTCCCCTCTGTTGGCTTTCCCCAACTGGAAGCATTTTGATTCCTTGTGGGAACTTAGTCATTTTCGTTAGGAGCAATCTCGCTGAAACCACCCATGCCATATGCTTTCCGACACACCACAGTTAATGATCACATTTGTTTGAAAACAGGATCTTGGTTCTCAAAAATAACCTTCATTGTAAAGAAAGGAGGCGCATATGTTCCAGAATGATTCCTGTGTTATACATAGCTTTATAATTCCACGAAGTACCAAGCCGCTGTTTAAAATGCCTAAACAGAACAAAGAAAAATCTAGATTACATGTTCTTTTCTGAAATGGGGCATTTTGAAATCCAAACCACAGTTTTGAGTCTGTCTGTCTACAAAGAGCCTTCTCTTAGTTGAAACCCAGACATCCAGAGACTAGTTCAGCCCCATAGACTCTGGGACAATAATTCACTTTAAACTTTAGTTCTATAAATGAATAAGTATTCTGTGTATTCTGTGTTGTTTGTTTCAGTCATAGTGAGAAGATCTTTGCTTGTTTGTTTGTTTGTTTGTTTTCCCATTAGATCTCTACCTTAGGCCAAATTCAGTTTAGGAAACAAAAATGAATGACTGTATTTATAACAGCACATTTCTACAGAGTGCTATGGCCTTCCTCCCAGGCCCTGTAACTAGGTTGGTCTGATCAGCCTGAAGTCTGAACAGCACTCTGAGCACACGAAGGCTAGTTTCTACTCCAACTTGTGGCTACACAGTACCGATTTTCGGCGCTGTAGGACTTTCAGGAAAAGGACTTGGAATAGTCCTTCTTTCAACAACAGAAGGTCAAGAACACAAAGGCTATCCTCATACCTCGTGTCTTACTCTCTACAGATGCCCCATGCTGTAGGTGTAGCTACTTAATAAAGTAACCCTCTGATTTTTAAGTCAAGCCACCAGGTTTCTCTGCTGACCTAACTTGATGTAGCGTCTGCTTGCCAGAAGAATGACCAGATTGGACATGAGCCAACAGGGTATTTGTGTCAAGAAAAATGGCCCACTTTTCTAGTAAAATGCAGATGAATCGACATTCCACCGAGTATGAGCCTTAGGCTAGGAGCTGGTTTGTACAGATGGATTTTCTCCCCAAATATCTTAGAATTGATAAGTCTTTCTAGCCAGGGAGTCCCCTGCCTGGACATACTCTTGAGAGGGAGAAAACCCACAAGGTCATGACCAGAGTATCAGCAAGCAAGTAACTTCCTTGTGTTTCTTGACCCTAGATGGACCCCACTAAGGTGACTGCTAAGGACCCCGCAGCCACACAGCAGTGCAAGTAGGAAGGGGACAGTTGAGTTTTCTGGGTCATAAGGAGCACAGAAGTTAGTGTGAGTCTCCATCCTCCCATAAGAGGGTTCCAAATGTATGCCCAGCTGCCACCCCTAAACCCTTAGGCAGGTGGGATGTTCCATGATAAGCTTTTAGAGAGGAGGGTGTGGTCTGTATGAATCACGGGATGGCAACGGCCTGTCTGAGAGACCCTTCCATGTCCCAGCTACACATTCCCAGAAGTGAACATCCCAACAGTTTCAGGAAACCATGCCCTGGTTATGGCCAGCCCTCTCGTCACCCGAGTTGACCACTTTGACTCCATCAGGCATGGAAGCCCACTCCAGAAAGGTTTCCAGTTCCTGGGTTTCCCTCCCCCAAGTCCTCACCAAGAGCGGCCAGACCATTCCTTCTCGTCCTAGAGCATGAACGATAGGAACAGGCTTCTCTTATTAGCCAGGATCCTTCCCTCACGGATGAGAATTAACGGAAATCTGTTGCAGAATAAACTGAAATTCAACGTTGACTCTCTTGTTGGCATCCCCTGGTACAAGAAACGCTCTGTGGGTGGTGGGCTTTGCTGACGCTGTGATAACCAGGGCCATTTGCACAGAGGTTTGCTGAAGGCACCAGGTTCTCCTCTCCTTTATCTAGCAGTGTTTCTTGGCTGAGAGATGTTCCCCTCCTCTTTGCACTTACCCGGGATGTTAATTAATTGTATCATCATTTAAAAAAATTATGTTGTTAATTACTGCTTTGTGTCTTCCCACCCCTGTCACAGCCTGGAGTTTTTATTCAATTAAATCTCTGTCTTTTGCCCATTTCTCTTGTCATTTTATGTTGCTGGGGTTCAGCGGGCAGCGCGCGCGCATACACAGACACTCAGGGCACTGCAGAGCTTGTGTTTTTCTCTTCGTTCACATAGCTAGCCAGTTCCCTGGTCGGAGACAGGCAGAGGGCCTATCGGCTTTTCACTCTGCTCAGGGGACAACTGGGCACCACATCAGGCTGGGTCCCGCCTGCCTTCCGTCAGACTGCAGCTCACAGAGCATCTGGGCCATGGGCCTGACGGTTCCCTCAGCCACTCAGCATGACAGGAAGCCCTCCCCCAGCCCCTACTGAGGCTGAAGCCGCTGTGAGGAAATGGGTCTCACTCCTAGCCGGAAAGCACAATGTTTTCACCCACCAGGAGAGAAAAACTGCTAGCTGCCATACAAGCACAACTTGGCAAAGCCTGGGGTCGGATCGTAGACTTGAGGTTTCTAAAAGCTCATTGCAGCTTCGCAGAATGTCCTCTCTGCTCACCTCCAGCCTCTAATTAATTTAGAAGGTGGCCTGTAGAGAGGCAGCTGGAGGGTGCATCCATTTCTGCACAACCGCATCTAAATTACTGGCGCTCTACAGGGAGCCAAGCTGCTGTGAGAGGAGCGCTGATGCCCGGGCAGGGGTCAAGCAAGCAGAGTCCACGGGTGCACCGGATCTAAGAAGGGCGTTACCAACTAACAGGGTCGGTAATCATCGGTCCGGGCTGGGTTGTGCTCCACTGACAAGCTTCGGCTCTTAGAGGCTGGAAACGGTAAAGGGGCATCTCTCATTCTTGTTCCGTGCCCACCATGTCAGCAAGGGAAGCCCTGCTCCCTATATCTCTCCAGAGGCACGAGATGACAGAGCAGCTCGCATCGCAAGCCTCGCTAGTCACCGTGCCCGAGGGAAGAGAACGCTGGGGTCATACTGCCCTATGTGCTCCAGCAAGGCGACACGCGGTCCTCACGACTCATTGCCAGAGTTACCCGTGCCATGACCTCCCAGAACACACGAGGTTCAAGAGCGCAGGGGAAGAAGACAGGAAGTATTTCCTGAGTGGCCCTAGGGAAGACCACAGCGAACGTAACCACCCGGTGGAGGGTGTGGCAGCTACCGACCGGAGCCAAGTGCAAACAGTAGATGGGGAAACCGGGGAAACCAGGTTGCCTGTGAAACATGTGGTCGCAGAGGGGGTGAGCAACGGGGCTGATGGTGGGGAGCCAGGCAGGGGGAAAGGGATTCCTAGTGTATGTCTATATACACCGGAGATCCAAGTGATCTGTGCCTTCCGCTCCAGCCAGGAACAGCAGAACAAATTCAGTTCGGGCTAGACAATTGGAGATGCGGGAGCGGAGTCCAGCAGACAGCTGCAGTTCCAGATGCGGCCTGGCAGAGAGGTCAGGCACGAGATGTTAATTACTGAAAGCTTGCATACCCGGAATGAGATGGGAAGATGGCAGGCTGACTGCTAAGCGGGTGCCATTTAGGCAGGGAGGGCCTGAGAGAGATTTTCATCAGGAACCGTCAGTCTTCAGAGATCGAGGGGAAAGGAAAGCGATGCAACCGTGATGGAGAGGTGGCCGTGAAGCTCCGATCAATGACAATGCTGATGAACAAAAACAGATCAATTAAGGGCTCTGGAAGATGGCTCTTCACAGCACGCTCAGCTTACATATAGCCCTGTTCGAAGAAGTCCGTTTCACTCATGTTTGCAAGTCTTTTTCTTCCCCTTCACCCCTCTGTTCTGCCCTTGCCTTTTAAAAACTGGTAAAATGTACATAACAAAACCCATGCCATTTTTGATAGTTTTTAGGTACGCAATTTAGTTCCACTGTGCACAGTGGTCTGCAGCCATTGTCACTGCCATCTATCTGCCCATAGAACCCGTTTCATCCTGCAGAACTGAAGCTTATCACCTCTCACTCACCACCCCCAGTGCCTAGCAACCACCACTCTACTTTCTGTCTTTATAAGTTTGACCAGTCTGGCTCCCTCACTCGAGTGGAATCGTAGAGTTCGCCATTTTGTGGCTGGCTTATTTCACTTAGCATGACTTCGAGATTCGTTGTGTTGCGGTATATGTTAGAACTCACTTCGTTTTTAAGGCTAATATTTCATTATGTGTAGACAGGACATTTTGCTTGTACGTTCCTCTGTCAGTGGGAACATGGTTTCTTCTGCCTCTAGGCTGTTGTGAATAACACTTCTCCCCAACACTGGTGTACAAAAGTATTTCATTTCCTACTTTCAATTCTTTTTTACATATACACCTAAAAGCAGAATTAATTGCAGTATTATAAAAATCTGTCTATATTTTTTTCACCTACTATCCTTATTTCCATGGCAACAGTTCCCTTTAATATCCTCATAAGATGTCTGATTTGTCTTCATCTTGGCCAGGGCAGTTTTGTTGTTGTTTATGGAGGCCTTGCTGTTAGGTGTGAAATGGTATCTTAGTATGGTGATTAATTAATTGAAACAGGGTCTCATGTAACCCAAGCTGTTCTAGAACTTGCTCTGACCGTCTCCTCCTCTTGTCTCCACTGCTAAATTTGCAGGCATCCCCACAGTGCCTTGTTTTCTATGGCGCTGGCAGTCAGACTGGGGGCTTTGTGTGCGCTAGGCTACCCACAAAGCCACAGCCTTATCATGGCTTTGATTTGCATTTTCTAGTAATTAGTGCACCGAGCATCAATGCGCTAATTGGCCATTTAGCATCTTTGGAACAATATCTACTCAATTTCTTTGCCCATTTTGAATTGGTCTGTTGTTGAGCTGTGGGGTTCTCCTCATATTCTGGAGACTAGTAATCTGTCGGGTATATCTTTTGCAAAATTATCTCCTCTTCTGGGTGTTGCTTTTGTGTGTATGATGGGTGGGTGGTGCTGGTACCCAGAAGGCAGAAGAGGGCACTAGATCCCTCAGAACTGAGCCACAGGCATCTCAGGTGGGACCCCTGACTTGTTAGGTTGGTACTGGAATCTGAACTCCTATCATCATGGTTATTTTGCCACAACTGCTGTTAACCACTGAACCGTCTCTCAGGGCCCTGCTATTTAATGCTACTGACCATGGCTTTTAATACCCAAAAGTTTTTAACTTTGATAAAGTCCAGTTTCACTGTTTGGCTCTTCTGTTACTCTGTTACTTGCGCCTTTGATATCTAAGAAATCATTGCCAAACCCAATGTTCCTGGTGTTTTCCTCTAAGTATTTTTTTACATGTAGATCTTGAGTTCTGTTCTATGTATGCTATCAGGTAGGAATTCCTTCCATGTGAATACCCCCTTTCCCAGCATCATTTGTTGAAAAGACTGGCTCTCTTACCTTGGATTATCTTGGTTGAAATAATTTGCTCACATACGCAGCAATTTATTTCAGAGCCTCTGATCTATTTCATTGTCCCCATATCTGTCCTTATGCCAGTACCATGCTCTTTTGATTATCATAGCTTTGTAGTAAGTTTTGAAATCAGAAAGTGTTATTCCTCCAACTTTATTCTTTTTTTTTTTTTAACTATTTTGAGGGCTAAGGTTATAGCTGTATGGTAGAGCATACATGAGGCTGTAGGTTTGATCCTCAGCACCACAAATATGTGCTTACGTGCATATATTGGGTGAGTTTTTCCATTTCTTTAAGAAAACGTCACTTATATTCTGGCAGGATATATCACATAGGGGTTGCAATGTATCTGTGGATTGCTCTGAGTAATGCCAACAGGAACCCAACTCTTGAGGGCACTATAGTGACTCCCACAGGGTACCATATGCCACATTCTGTCTGCCAAGTCGCCTCACCTCACTGCGGATGCTGCAGGTTGTAACCCTTGGTTCAGGACCAAGCACAGTTACCGACATCAAGCTCAGCTCGCCAGACCTTGAACATGAAATCACCCGCTGTTTGTCCTGTGGAAACCATCTCCTACAACTGCCAACAGGATTCAACTCTGCAGCCCAACTTCTTCCTGCCCTACCTCAAGCCCAAATGTTCAACCGCTTCAGCTGCCCTAATTCCTATCATAGTAGGTCAACCTCTTCTGCAAACACCCAGATATTTACTTCCTCACTGAGTAAACAGGCTGAGCACCTACTGAGCATCTGATGCCATGTGAAGGCTGAGGATGTGCCAATCAAGAACAATAACAGCTGGCATTCACTAAGGACTGAATAGTGTGCCAGGCTACATTTAAAGTGCTTCACAGGCATTCTCTCATTCAAGTCTTCCTTCAACCCCATAAGATTAAAGAGCTTGCCTGAGGTCGTATAACCGAATCCAAATATGGATTCTGTAATATGGCAAGGGTAATGCCAGGGATATACTAGAGCTGGGGGGCCTCCCAGGGAAGGACTGCCTAATCCAGACAGCTACACGTCTGTCGTTTAGAGTTCTAAAACTAAAACTGTGAAACCTCAGTCTCATCTTTTCCACGACAGAGCCCTGCAGTGGCCTCTTGGTCCCCAACAGCAGTTTGTCCGGTCAGGAGCTGATAAAACGTCACAGGATGTGCTCATCACATGCCACCCTAGTCGATCACCCCATAGACATGCTCTCTGATGGATGATTCTGGGAAGGCAAAGCCTTGGTTTACCCTGGCAGCTGGACCGGAAAGTTGCACGGAGCTCAACAAAGACAGGCATGCTCACTCCTGTACACGAGGTAGCTCCGGCTGGATGATCAGGAAAGACAGGGTTTTGGGGACCTGGGGGAAATCATTCGAGCTAAGGCACTTCCCCAGGTCCACTCAGTCTCCAGCCATCGCACCTCCCCTTCCCCACAGTACCAGATCCTGACTCTCCTGCCACAGGAGACAGCCAGCTGAAGACAGCCAGCTCAGGACACAAGTGCTGTGGAGAGGCCCTGTGAGCAGACATGACTGTGTGCCCTGTGGCTCTTTTTTTTAACTCCTGCAGATTGGGGGAGTTTGGTGACACATCAGGGACTATCCAGACACACAAAGAACACCCACCTAGGCAGGCGCCTCAGGCTTTCCTGACACAAAACATTTCTTCTCT